AGTGTAGTGCCACCTTTGGTAATGGATGTGTTTTGCCGCACTCCATACCACGATACAAATGCTGCAGTTATTCGAAAATACCCTCCCTCCTTAAAAAGAAGAAACGTCAGACAGGTTGGGCAATGCCCTTAGCCCCCCCCCCCCTCCCCCCTTAATCTTAAGCTAAGCCAATGGCCACCCGAACATCTGAAATTCCCCCTCTCCGTTTTCCGGGGACAAATGTCCGAAAGAAACACTGGTAACAATATTCACTAATCTGTTAGTGGGGTACCTAAAAAAGGGGAGGGGGGGGAGGCAGGAGTAAATGACGTGACACTCCGGGCAGCACTTTTATAACAAACACCTATTAATGTGTGTGTGAACTGTGTGTGTCTAGTGCAGTTTTTAGCGTTCTCCCCAGCAGCATTTAGTTAAGGTACTGGTAACTATAAATCTTTCTCCCTCACTGCTACTGGCAACTACATATCTTTCTCTATGTGTAACTCATCAATAAACAAGCCCATCATAAAAGCTGTATTCTAAGTGTCTCCTTTTACTTATAATACAAGTACAGTAACTCTTTATAGTTATAATGCATATCCAGCAAGTTTCAAAAGGGGTTGGGGGGGGGGGGCATGACCAAATTAAAACAAAGGAAAGTCTGCTTACACCTAGTTTGAAGCTTGTGTCAGTACCCATCTCTCCGTCAGTATAAGATCATTTACCACTCAATGTCATGAACCCTGTCTATGACAATGGTCTGCATTTAGTTCAATTATAATAATTTTTAATTAAAGATCAAGTTGAATGCAAAGCAAATTTAACGCTGAAGTTCATTTGCATTTGTTTATTCTTAAAATTTACGTTAGGGTTTATTAAAAAAAAATAGTTACAGTTACAGGTTTCATTAATTTAAATGACTTGTGAGATCAATAACAATTGAAGAAAGTGCACAACAGAATGATCAACAAATTGATCGTGGGCCCCTCAAATATAAGAAGAAGAAATACAAAAGTGAGTGAAGAAGTTGGATACAAAGTTTGATCAAAATTTTTCAAGGACCACTAATTTCATTACTTGTCAATTCTATGGCTATAAAAAGGAAAATTGATATATAAAATAATTGATGCAAATTTCTATGACAGAAATCATATGAGGATTCCACTGAAATGCTTTGGCCATGATACAATGAAGCTTTTAAAGAAAATAAATGAGAAGTGTGTTTTAGCCATGTAGAGATCATTAACAAATTAATTTTTGTTGGGATAATCAATCAACATATCAAATAGTTCAAAGGGAAAAAAACAATAAGTAAAAATATAAATATTTATTTTTATGGTAATCAGTCAATTGATTTATATTTATTTATGGCCCAAGCTCTGTTTATTTTAAATATGAATCAAATGTCATCATTGCTGTAAGTGTAAGAT